AACACAAATAACAAGTGTGAAATTTGTGTTGAGGCAAAACTAACTAAAGCACCTTTCAAATCGGTTGAAAGGCAGACTGAACCACTAGAATTAATCCATAGTTATTTGTGCGATTTTAGATCGATACAAATGAGAGGTGGTAATAAATATTTTATCGCGTTTATCGAAGATAGAACACGATACTGCTATCTGTATTTGCTTAAGAGCAAAGATGCAGACGTTGATAAATTCGTTCTTTATAAGAATGAAGTGGAAAACCAACTTAATCGGAGAATTAAGAAGGTTAGAAGCGATAGAGGTGGTGAGTACGAAACACCTATTGGTGACTTTTGTGCAAGTGTATGTATCATACACAAGTGTACGGCACCTTACGCACCTCAATCGAACGGTGTTGCCGAACGAAAGAATCGTACATTGAAATATATGATGAATGCGATGCTTATAAGTTCGGGCCTACCTCAAGGTATGTGGGTTGAGGCGATTTTGACAAGTACCTTTTAAATAAGTTGCCCCGCAAAAAGCTCGATAAGACTCCTTATGAGGTGTGGAACGGTAGGAAACCTTCCTACCAGTACCTGAAAGTGTGGGGGTGTCTTGCCAAAGTTTTGGTGCCAACACCTAAGAATGTAAAGATAGGTCATAAGACGGTGGACTGTATCGTTATTGGCTATGAACATAATAGTAGTGCTTATCAGTTCTTAGTACACGAGTCTCATAATCTGGATGTACATAAGAACACGAAAATAGAATGAACGAATGTATCTTTCTTTGAAAATGTATTTCCTTGTAGGTCTATCGAGGGACCGAGTATGTCAAAACGAATGTTTGACGAAGCTATAGTTAACGATAGTGGGGAACCTGAGAGAGAACACGAGCGCGGGCGAGACGCAACAAGCAGGCAAGAGTTGAAAAATCATTTGGTCCTGATTTTCTAACTTACTTGTTAGAGTATGATTCGGGTACTCTAACTTGTTTATTAGAAAACGAACCTGATTTTCTATCTTGTTTGATAGAAAACAAGCCTCAAACGTATGTAGAAGCGCACAACCTCTACGGAAGGACCAATATGGAAAGAGGCTATCAAAAGTGAAGTGGATTCTATCATACAGAACCACGCTTGGGAACTTGTGGATCTTCCTCCGGGTAGTAAACCCTTAGGATCCAAGTGGGTCTTTAAAAGGAAGGTGAAACCGGATGGTTCCATCGAGAAGTATAAGGCTAGGCTTGTAATCAAGGGTTACAAGCAATACGAGAGCCTTGATTACTTCGACACGTATTCTCCTATAACGAGAATAAACTCCATTAGGATGATACTTGCCATAGTCGCATTGCGGAATTCGGAAGTTCATCAAATGGACGTTAAAATCGCTTTCCTAAATGGCAAATTAGATAAAGAAATCTATATGGAACAACCCGAAGTGTTCGTGGTTCCGAGCCAAGAAAGGAAAGTGTGTAGGTTGGTTAAATCGCTATATGATTTAAAACAACCACCTAAGTAGTGGCACGAGAAGTTTGACCACGCGATGTTAACCAATGGGTTTAAAATAAACGAAAGTGACAAATGTGTCTACCTTAAGGAAACGATAGGCAGTTATGTCATTTTTTATTTATACGTAGATGATATGCTCATCGTTGGTAGTAACGATCGGATGATCAAGTCTACCAAGAACATGTTAAATGCGAGATTCGACATGAAGGATATGGGTTTGGCTGATTTAATCCTTGGGATTAGAAGAATTAGAAGACCTAATGGTCTTGTGTTGAGCCAATCACATTATATTGACAAAATCATTGCAAAATTTAACAAGGATGATGATCAATTGGCTAAAACACTGTTTGATACAAACATTCATCTAACCAAGAACCACGGAGAGTGTAGTTCTCAAGTAGAATATGCTCGGGTTATTAGTAGTTTGATGTATCTTATGAGTAGTACTAGGTCAGATATTGCCTTTGCGGTTAGTAAACTCAGTAGATATACGAGTAACCCCGGTGCTATGCATTGGACGGCAATAGTAAAGGTTATGAGATACTTGAGGTACACACGTGACCTTGGAATGCACTACGGGAGATATGCTGCTGTATTTGAAGGGTATAGCGACGCTAACTGGATATATGATATTAAGGACTCTAAGTCCACGAGTGGCTACGTGTTTACACTAGCAGTTGCATGGAAATCCTCTAAGCAAATCGTGATAGCTAGATCCACGATGAAATCTGAGCTGATAGCCTTGGACAAAGGTTGTGAAGAGGCGGAATGGCTATGCCATTTTCTAGAGGATATTCGTAATTAGGAAAGACCTGTACCTCCAATATGTGTGCATTGCGATAGTCAAGCCACAATTGGGAGAGTACATAGTCATATGTATAATGGTAAGTCTATACATGTGCGCCGTAGACATAATACCATTAGACAACTTCTCACAACTGGTGTTGTCTGACTTGTCTCGATTGACTACGTAAAGTCAAAAGACAATATAGAGGATCCGCTAACCAAAGGATTAGGCAAAGAAGTTGTGGAGAAACTGACATGAGAAATGGCTCTAAAGCCCTTGGTATAAAAGTTCTATAGTGGACACCCAACCTAGCTGACACCTAGGTTTAATGGGACAACTAAATTATGGAATGGAGCGTGTCACCGTGGGGGTCTCGGACTCCCTACCACTCCTCGTTAAAACAGTGACTCCCGCATGAGGTTAGCACGTTGATGCTTTAATGACTCAAATTTCGGTTGACATGTATGAGTATGCAGCATACTTGGAAAAGAATCACCTATGTCAGAGAGAAGTGAGGGTTACTTAAAAGGAGAATTGATAGACACAATTCTTTAGAAACTCTTGCAGAACCAGGAACAGTGACCCATGACCAAAACGGGCACATTCATGAAAACAGAGCATGGTTAGGAGGTTTCTATGTGAGATATGTCATCGTCTACGCAAATGGCAGTCAGTTCAAACACATCGTGTTCTACCGTACAGCCGGTAGAGTAAACATATTTTCACAAGGGAAGGTTCAAAGGGTGCGGTAATCCCTACTTATCCTATGCAGGGATCGACCGTTGAACACAGTTGTTTCCGATTTCAAAATACCTTGAAAATTAATTTTTCATTCATGTGGGGGATTGTTGAAAAAATAGCTTAAAATGGAATTATTAGTGACTATTTTGTGGTACAATTATTAGTGGGGTCTACTTCCAATTTGGGTCGTGTCAAAGTGGATTCAGGTTCTTCGTAGTGAGACGAAGAGATTGATATATTGTACGTTCAAAACAGATAATGGGTGAATGAGATTGATTCTCAAAGTAGACCCATTTGATTTGGAAAAATGAAGGGAAAAAGAATGAGCTTTTGTCTCACATTGGTTTGGGAAGTGGGTTTGCATCACTATTTATACAAGAGTCTTTCAAAGGCTAATTGAATTGTATAGCATAGAGGCTCTCTCTCGCGGGGGGGTGGGGTTTGGTGCAAATCAAATCCTAAAGTGAGCTTGACTCTGTACGCTAGCGCTTTGCCTTTTGCAACCAGACCGTTGTGAGATTAAATTCAATAATTACGGAATTAATTTTCTATTAATTTCGAAATTAAATTCAACAGCTACAAAATTAATTTTCTATTACAGTTAATACCTCCAATGGTCCTCCGAGTATTAGCGATTTACCAGCTGTGGTCATCTGAGTTTTAAATTAAATGACCTCCAATGGTCCTTTATGTTTTAAAAAATAACCAACAGTGGTCCTAATTCTTAAAAAAATCCAAGTTTAAAATGACCACGAGACGTCCTAAAAGGACCACAGGTGGTTATTTTTTAAAACATAGAAGACCATTGGAGGTCATTTAAAACTCGAATGACCACAGCTGGTAAATCGCTCATACTTGGAGGACCATTGAGGGTATTAACTCTTTTATGTTAATTTCAATTTTAAAATTCGAATTTAAGTCTCACATGATGGTTGCTGTTTCAGATGTTACAAGGCTAGGTTTAATGGTCATGTTCAATGCTATTGAAGTCCAACAGTCCTATATAAGAAGTAGTAGAGCAGCAGGAATTTAAGAACAACAAGTGCACATACTTACACGTTTTTCTAGCTCCAAAATCTCTGCTTCTACTCCTTTCTTAGCCTACTGTGTTCGAAGCTTTGCTCTAGTTCGTCGGTTTCAAATTTTGGGTGCTCAAACGATTGAGTCGTAGTACGTATTATCATGGGAAATCTAGGCTACAACGCTCCTATCACTTGTGGGGGGTAACAAATAAGGTTCTAAGGAAAGAGTATTTCGCTCGACTCATACTAAACATCTTCCCTAGGTATCCTTTCATTCTTCCTACCACATCCGATCATCCTTCCCCGTTTTTCCATATAAATAATTATCTTTTCGTATTAAGTAGCCTATTTTACCCTTATTCCTAAGTCATAATAATAATAATAATAATAATAATAATAATAATAATAATAAAATACATAGTAAAACTTTAGACCTACCTGAGTTACCTTCATTCTATTCACAGAATAAAAATAAATGAAATTGGCCGGAATACTCGTAAAATGATCGAAGAAAGAGCTTATTAGCTTTTACAGGGAAAATACTCGTAAAATGATCGAAGAAAGAGCTTATTAGCTTTTACAGGGAAATTATGTATTTACTTTAAAAGAAAAATTGCACTTTTCGTCACTAAGTTATTGAGTAATTGTAGAATTCGTTATCTAAATATTGGTCATGCTCACTTTTCGTCCCAAGTTATTATTGGTGTTACACATTTTGTTATTTTGTGCTCACTTTTTATCTATGAGTTATACTAAAATTGTAAATTTCGTCCCTAATGTTTTATTATTAAAGGAATGAAAAGTCCAACATTAATAATAACTCAGGGACAAAAAGTGAATATGACCAACACTTATAACGAAATCTACAATTACCCTATAACTTATAACGAAAAGTGCAATTTTCCCTACTTCATATGTACACAAATATAGAATTTGGATTAAAAGATAGTATTGTTTGTACCTTCAAGTCGAATTCTGATCGGTTAAGCTTCAAAAGATACAAGAGCGCAAATAAATCATCGGTGTCGACGTCGGTATCCAACAGAATCCGGTGAGGCAGAGTCTCCACAAAGCTCAGGTTGCCTCCGACCACCACCGCCACCACAACCATGAACGCCGCAAATCTCTTTACCACCATCTTCTCTCTTCTCACACTTCTCATGTTCACAGAATAATTGAAACTAAAAATAGCAGGGAGCTAAGCGCTAATGGTACAAATTGAATACTTAGAGAAGTGGCAGCTTTGATTTGTTGAAACCCCATTATATATATTTATTTATGAAATATTTGAGAAATGAGGGAGGGAGGGAGGGATACCTGGCCGGCCTGTTGAAGCTAATAGTCGATTATGATTATATTTTGGGTGTGTTTGGTTTATGGGTTTACACATCAGAATGAGAATCAAAATCATAGTCAGTGTTTAATTGATAATTTTTTTGAACACAACTACAAGATTTAATTATTCATTTAATTAAAAATTACATTCCCTAATTACAAAATGAGTATCATTCCATCATATTGTAACTTTGGATGTCATTATATTAGAATCAATTACCTTGTTTTTTTTTTTTTTTAATTTTTTTTTTGGTATTATACATAACCAAACATTAATATATATTAGTAATCACTCCAATTCTACTCTTCCATCTACTACCAAACATACACAATATTAATACTTTAACCTATTCCTGTTACCATTACTAAAAGGGGTGTATTCAATCATGACTTTCATAGAGTTTTAAAGACTTTTAGGAACTTTAAAAGTTTGGAGGTATTCAATTCAAACTTTTAGCGAGTCTATAAAAGTCAGGTGGTATTCAATCAAGATTTTTAAAGAGTCTTTAAAAGTCGTGTAGTATTCGATTATGACTTTTAAAGAGTCTTTAAAAATCATGCGATATTCAAAAAGTTATGAACTTTTGTAGACTTTTTAATTTGGGAAAATCAACGATTTGGTCCCTCAATTGTTAGAGAAATATCAATGTAGTCCCTTAATCGCGTAATCATCGATTTAGTCCCAGGAAATAACTGTTTTTTGTTGATTTAGCCCCTCCGACCGTAATCCATCAATAACCCGGCGAGAGCTCCGATTTGCCATGGGCAATTTAGTCATTTCAGGGGTAATTTAATCCTCCTTCTCTAACAACCCCTCCTCCTCTTCTCGCTGCAACTCCACCACAGAAACCATGGGTGCCATTCTTGGAAAGCTTCTTCCAATCAAATACCCATCCCAAGAAGCCCGAGACTCATCCAGGGAGTACCTCGGACCATCAAAGCTAATTCTCCCAACAAACCGAACCCGTAATCTGTCATCTCCGGTTGGATCTCTCTGTTCTGCTTTGACGTTGGCATCTCAGCAGGCAAAGCAACTGAAGTTTTGCCATTTTCTTGCTTCTTCAGCTTCTGCTTGTTCTTCCATTTCTGTCATTCCCTACTGATAACCGTAGTAGACAAAATGCTCCCTGCAAGTCCTCCCCTAGAGGGTTTTTTTTGTCTGTGAATCAAGATCTATATGATCCTTCATAGGCTTTAATATATCACCTCTCACGCCCTCTTCTCCCACAATCTCCGAACTAACCACACTTCTAGCAGCGTTTTCAACTAGGGGTTCTGGAAACTCAGTAATTTTGCTATCAATCTGATCTGGTTTTAGCAGGTGCCTTCTTGTATATGTTGCAACTGAAACCAGCGCTTTGGTTTTCATGCTTTGTGCCGATCTCTACGCCACTAATTCCGGCATTCTGGTCGGAACCTACGCGTACGTGATTCTCTCGATCTCAGCTCGTATCCTCGTCTTGCATCGATCCGGCAGAGCAATTAATCAACAGATCTAAAGTCAACGTGCGGCGGAGCTCGGGGAGAAGGGCCCTGGTGTTACAGGACTTGCGTTGGGGCTCAAATGCGGCGGTGGATAAGCTCAGAGACTTGTTCTTTGAAGCAAAAAATGACTTGGTGCAGCGGAGCTCGGGGAGGACCCTGATGTCACAAGACTTGCACTGTGGCTCAAATGCGGCGGTGGATAAGCTCAGAGACTTGTTCTTTGAAGCGGAGAATGACATGGTGCGGCGGAGCTCGGGGAGGAGGGTGGTGACGACGGAGGTGGAGTTGCGGCGAGAAGAGGAGGAACGGTTGTTAGAGGAGGAGGATTAAATTACACATGAAATGACTAAATTGCCCATGGAAAATCGGAGCTCTCGCCGGGTTATTGACGGATTACGGTCGAAGGGGCTAAATCAACAAAAAACAGTTATTTCCAGGGACTAAATCGATGATTACGCGATTAAGGGACTACATTAATATTTCGCTAACAATTGAGGGACCAAATCGTTGATTTTCCCTTTTAATTTTAAGACTTTTGTATACTTTTCCTTGTCAAATATAAATAGTTGAAATCCAACCATCAACCCCAAGATTTTTTAAAATTTTCTTTCTAACAACTTTGAATGTGTTCTCTCTCTATTTAAACTCTATTTTTTATCCCTATTTAAACTTTATAAACCCATCAAAATTCAATAAAATTATTTTTTTTCTGCATTATCCAATATTTTCCGCATACCTAAACTCTACCAATTTTTTTCTCTCTCTTAAACGTTACAATATTCATCTAAAAATTCGAAATAATATTATTTTTACTTCATTATTATTGCTTATTTATATTGATTTTTATTTTTTCTATAATTTTTTTATTCCTAACTTTCTCTAATTCTCCCTAAATACATGAACAAAGCAAATTTTTCATCGTCAAATTTTAGTATGTGTTTCATAATATTCATATAAATACTTATATATTTTGATTTTTATACTTTTTATGTTTATATTCGTAATATATATATATATATATATATATATATATATATATATATATATATATATATATATATGTATGTATGTATGTATGTATGTATGTATATATATATATATATATATATATATATATATATATATATATATATATATATATATATATTTAACAAGAGGTTATTACGAATAGCAAACTACTATTCGCAACAACAATTTGGTGTTGCAAACAGTAGCACCCTGTTGTTTTTTTTCGCAGTCTCAAATTAGCTATTGCAAATAATAGTTCTTTGCGCGATGCCTAGCAATATATCAATTCAAGTATATAATTTTTTTATATACATTATTAATATTATATTTTTATTTCTTTTATTTTATGCAACTTGTCATTATATTTTTAAATATTTTATTTGATCAATTCTTTTATTATAAATTTTATTGTTCAATATTGTTATGAATTTCTAATGAAATAGTTTTTTTTTTTTTTTGATGTTTATTAATAATATATATATATAAGTAATTAGTATTTTTTTTTGAAGAATAATTAATTAGCATATAAGTCTCAGCATACTATGGATAAAAATAATAATGTTGAGAATGTTATATGGGTGAAGAACTATATAATAAGAAGAATTTTATAATATATTATAAATGTTTTGTAAGAAAATTATAAATGATAAGAATCAAAATCATTGAAAGTTTGTAAGGATGTATTCAATTTTGAATTTCAATGACTTTTGTAGACTTTTTAAAATAAAAAGTTGATAAAAGTCTATAAATGTTTTTTATATAGACTTTTAGAGTCTTAGAGTTAATACCATCTGAGGTCCTCGGAGTATAGTGATTTTGCCATGTTTAGTCTTAAACATTCAAATTGACAATCTGTGGTCCTTCGAGTTTTAAATTTAACCATTCGTGGTCCAAGTAAACCACCCATGGTCCTTCAACTATTAAATTTTAACCACCCATGGTCCTTTCAAGAGGACCACAGCTGGTTAAATTTTGAAACTTAAAGGACCATGAGTGGTTAACTTGGACCAAGAATGGTTAAATTTGAAAGTCAAAGGACCACAGATGGTCAATTTGAAAGTTTAGGACTAAACGTGGCAAAACCGCTATACTCGGAGGACCTCAGATGGTATTAACTCTAGAGTCTTATAAAGTTTTAAAAAGTTTTGAAGAACTCTATGAAAGTCAATCAAAGTTTATTAAAATCTATCATTTTAAAACTCTTTAAAACTCTACAAAAGTCATAATTGAATACACCCCCTTAAATATTTACGGGGGTGTATTCAATCATGACTTTCATAGAGTTTTAAAGACTTTTATGAACTTTAAAAGTTTGGAGGTATTCAATTCAAACTTTTAGAGAGTCTTTAAAAGTCAGGCGGTATTCAATCAAGATTTTTAAAGAGTCTTTAAAAGTCGTGTGGTATTCGATAAAGACTTTTAGAGATTCTTTAAAAGTCATGTGGTATTCAAAAAGTTATGAACTTTTGTAGACTTTTTAATTTTAGAACTTTTGTAGACTTTTGTAGACTTTTCCTTCTCAAATATAAATAGTTGAAATCCAACCATCAACCCCAAGATTTCAAAATTTTCTTTCTAACAACTTTGAATGTTTTCTCTCTATTTAAACTCTATTTTTTCTTCCTATTTTAACTTTATAAATCTATCTAATTTTAATAAAATTATTTTTTTCGTCATTATCCTATATTTTCCTCATACCTAAACTCTACGTATTTTTCTCTCTCCTAAACTTTACCATCTTCCTCTAAAAATTCGAAATAATATTAGTTTTACTTCATTATTACTTGTTTATATTGATTTTTATTTTTTATATGAATTTTTTATCAATAACTTTCTCTAATTCTCCCTAAATACATGAACAAAGCAAAATTTTCATCATCAAATTTTAGTATATGTTTCATAATATTCATATAAATACTTATATATTTTGATTTTGATTTTTTTTATGTTTATATTTGTAATATATATTTTTCATTTTTTTTTAAACAACAGGTTACTACGAATAGCGAACTACTGTTCGCAATAACAATTTGGAGTTGCAAACAGTACTTAGCACCTTGTTGTTGTTCGCAGTCTCAAATTGCTATTGCAAATAATAGTTCTTTGTGTGATGCCTATCAATATATCAAGTATAACTTTTTTTTTATATATATTATTAATATTAGATTTTTTTTATGCAACTTGTAATTATATTTTTAAATATTTTATTTGATCAATTCTTTTATTATAAATTTTATTGTTCAATACTATGGATAAAAATAATAATGCTAAGAATGTTGATATGGGTGAAGAACTATATAATAAGAAGAATTTTATGATATATTATAAATGTTTTGTAAGAAAAAATTATAAATGACAAGAATCAAATTCATTAAAAGTTTGTAAGGTTGTATTCAATTTAGAATTTCAATGACTTTTGTAGATTTTTTAAAATAAGAAGTTGATA